AACAAAATTCTGGCTACGTGCCTGCTTCTCGTCAAGGTGTAATTACACAGTACCTTTCTTGTTTGGGGTGTACACAGTGGTCCGGGACCCAATAATATGACTGAACAAATAAATTACACCAACGGGTCGCCGAAACAGCACGTTGCTTCTTGGCAAGTGTCGAGGCAATTTCGGCCGAAAACCGGCTTCAATATTGGCCGGATGTGCGGTTTTGCGCCTCGTCCCGACATCCGGCAGGTATGGGTGTACCGATGCAAATAAACGATTTTTGTCTAATAGCATTGCCACCACTGATTTCTTAGGAGGCTAGATCGCGGATAGAGGCCTGTATTGCTGGGGTCGAGCGCCACCACCGGCAGTCATCGCTTGACACGATCTAATGCATGCTATAGGAGAAACGAGAAAACTCAATTTTATTACGTTAGTAGGTTGTTCTCTACCATGAAACTTCTATCGTGTTTCCGAAAATAACAGTTAATATTGTGGGCAAGAATATTAAACGCGTTAGAATACCAATCTTGTTTAACTAAATGTTGTGTGGTTGAGGGTCGCGGTCGCGACTTTGTTGGGCGTTAACTGTGATGTGTTAAATGAGACAAGGGCTACCGAGAGTTATTGTGGAGTCATCCGTGATTCCGGAGTCATCAAAGCTCAGCAAACGATAAGTTAGAAGGCCTTTACTGGGGGCATTCGCATCGTTTTAACCGCTTGTGCACGCACAGTACTTCATGGTGAAAGCTTTTTCTTTGAACTGCTGTGAGGACTTCCGTGACAAACTGAAACTCGGAGCATGCCATTCAGGCGCTGTACGTGCCATTTATTTTGCAACCGAAGCAAGCGACGTCGGTAAAGTCTGTGGTCCTCTGTCCCATTTTGTGTTTAATCGATGTTCGAACTTTTGACGAATGTCTATTCGATCTCCAAGCTCCAGATATAATCATCGCCGCACGTCATAAAATACTCCCCTCGAGCACCGCGTACAAGCTTCATATTTTTGCGTGTTTCTCCCTTAGACTTGCGTGTATTGCCTCATGGTGCAATACGCCAAAACAACAAGGACGAAACCGAAGTGAGATCTAGACAGGATGCGGCGTATTGCCTGTTGTCAAGCAATGGCCGTTGGTGAGGCCAGTGGCGGGCTCCCGATCTGCGATCCAGACTTGCATTGTGATAGTTCTAATGCACTGCACCCGCGGAATGCTGCACGGAGAACATGCCCCGAACGAACTTGCCAAATGCACCGAGTGCAGACTGATGCTGTCGCCATAGATTTTGTAGAAAAGTACCGACCTCAAACCGAAACTAGCGCCTTTTTGGTCGACGTGATGGGTGGGAATGCGAGAGCGCCAGTCGCTGTCATCGTTTATCTATAAACGTTGGTTTCTACAACGTGTAACTTATATTTGCGATGACTTCCAATTAAGGAACTCGGCTGTCAGAGATATCTACAGACGGCGTAAGTTTCCGAAACCAGCTGACTACAAAACAGCATACACTTGAGGAAATTGATGGCACTGTACGCGCAAGAGCTTGCTTCGCTTTAAGCTTAGTAATATGAGTGAACCACTGAAAGGGTACGGCTTAAATCTAGTTCTTTGAAACACCTAGCAATACGTTTCGTAGGACTTTTTATTTTCCTGGTGAGGGCATTAGGAACGAGAGCTTTCTCAAAAAAAAAAAAAAATACGAAGGGGCAAGATAGCTGCCGTTCAAATATGACTTTGCTTGAGTCTCGGGCAACGTCTCCATGTTTAGCCTTCCCGGACGCTGAGTGAATGCGTCACAGGTTTCTGCTGTGGGAGCTTTGTCGAAAAATGTTCCACTTTTCACCCGGACACAGATGATGCGAGATCTCGCGGCCTCTGTGTTGGTCCTGAGCCTTTATTACACACCGGTAGGTTTCAGCGTCTGTACGACAACAAAGCGACTCAAATTTTGCAAATAAAACACGTGTCGTCAATTCCTCCCTTCATGAAATATCAGACGCTTACAATTCAAGCTCGCGTTTGAGTTTGTAACCCGCGGGACGCGGTTTTGAACAGAAAACCAACTTTTTCTTTCAGTTCCGCTGTGCGAATGCCGCATCGTAGCAGACTCACTCTCGTCGTCTGCTCTCGCTCCTCGCCCGGGCGAGGCATGGCGGGATTGTCGGCGCTAGAGGGCTCAAAGACAACGTACAGCCTGCGTACAGCGAGCGGCGTGAACGCTCGCCTCCCCGCGCTGTCTCGTGTTCTCGTGCACCGCCTAGGGATCGCGGGGGATTTTTCGTCAAAAGTTGCGAGGTTGAGCGCGCGCAGGGAGGAGGAAACTTTGCGGAGTTCTTTTGGTCACTCCCCCCGCTACGTCAGAAAGCGAAGAATGTTTTGCTCCACGAGTTTAGCTACCCAGGTGGAAAGCTCGGACACAGACGCCAGCGGCCAGCCTACGTAATGACATCCCCTGTCACTAAGTTTTAGAACGTGAAAGGGCACTTTTTAAACCTGTAGCAGACGATATCGTTGATACACCCGTAGCAGACGAAATACTCGGCGAGCGCAGGCGGCGCGGCCGACCAGCGGCGCGGCGGAGTGATACAAAGTGCAGGCGAGATCGCGTGACCTATTGCCGGCTTTTGATTGGCTCCGGCCACACGCAGCTTTGGCTGCGGTCGGACGGAAGCTAAAACGAAGTATAGCTTAGGCTCTCCGGAGAAAGAAATTACATACTTATTGGCTCACCCGGACAGATGCACACCGCTCTTCTTTTTTTCCTTTTTTGTTTTCTTCTCTGAGACAAGGGGTCGCACGAGGAAATGCTGGCAGACTGAAGTGAGGACAGGAGCGAGTGTTATTTTTGTAGGGTCCACTGTACACGAAAATATCTGTGACATGAGGTTGTAAGAATGTAAAACGCGTGCTCTTGCTGGCCGATAAGATAAGGTTCGCTGTAGTTATGAGTTCTGATTTCGAGCGCTCTTGTTGGACGTGTCATAAAATGAAAGGAACTCGACTTGCCCTTTTTAACAACACTGGTCCGCAGTTTTCTTCTTTTTTTTTTGCGGCTTTTTCGGCTGCTTCTTGTCGTTTTAAGCGCCATCTAGATTTGTTTCAAAACTACGTGTTCGATGGGGTGCAGTGAAACGCCATCCAGACGTTGTGCTTAGAATACATTGCAGTTACCCTAGCAGCCGTCCTCAAAAGGGTGGCGCGCTGAACGACGGGAGGCGGGCCGTGGGGGTTGAGGGAGGGGCCGATGCTCGTGGAAACAGCGTCTATTAGCCCTGAGCGAGACCGATTGGAGCGTTGCGATCGCTCAATGACGCCGTAGATACCGGTATCACGTGACGGGACCAGGTGTTTTTTCCGCTTTGCTTTGCTTTCGTTCTGGGATTGAACGCGTAACAGCAGGAAGTGTTTTCTACGTATATCTTGTTTTTGCTATTACGCAAAACGTGCGTACGACGAAATCTATAAGTAATTCCGAATACGCGAAGCGTTTTCTGTAGGTGACGATGGAATCCTACAGTAATTTCATGGCCGCCAACACCGCTCGGATACTTCGCCCTAGAGACCAAGGAGCATACTTTTATGTACTCATCGCATGCTTCCCGACTTTAAGCGGAGAAAAGATAGATACTTACTCAAAACTACAATTCTCTGTAAAGTCCGATCTACCCACGAATTCTGGAAAGAACGACGATAATCCCACCGACTCTGGCGGCAGCAGCCGTGGCAATCTTGGCGTACTGTTGAGGCTACGGCCACCGCTACCCAATAGGGTCGTCGGAGCTACGCGCGTGACACCACGTCACGGGAGCGTTTGTGTCACTGCACCAAATTCGAGGCACGGAGGAACCGGCTGCCGTCTGCTCACCAAGAGTCGCCTGCTGCAAAACCGACTAACTTCAGGGGAACGTCTACCATCGCAACATTGCCGTCCGCTAAGGTAGCGAGCTCTTCGGGAACATTTCGTGGGGCAACCATTCGCTCAATATATCACCGAATCTGTGTATGTGTGTGTTGGGGGGGGGGGGGGGGGGGGGCTAATGCAATGGCGACGCTTTGAGCGGAAGTGGTCGATTGCAGGGCTGTGATCGTTCAACCATCCTTCAAAGCCCACGTGGTTCTAGAGAAGTGTTGATCCGAATTGTGTTTCGTTGAAAAGTCATGCCTCGCCTTTCTGCCGTCTAGAGTAGCGTAGTGTCAATAGAAATGATATCCCGCGAATCGAATTGCCGTTAAAAAATACTAAAGAAAAACAAGAACTATATTTTGTTGCACACGGCGCTGTTACTGTGGCGGTAACGAGGCCTCCGTGGCCTCGAACATGCAGTGTTGCCAGGTGCCTTGCTCCGACGCCTTTATTGGGTCGCAAGCTTTTATGGTGGTAACCATAGAAGACTGCGATTACAATTGTGCGTGGCCTGTTTTTCTGTTAACAAAAACAATGCTCAGAGATCGCGGACACGCTGTTCTATTGTGGCCGAGATAGGAAGACCAAACCCAGTCGGCGGGAATGGAACAAAAGAAGGGTGTTTATTTGTTGGACACTCTCTTTATTTAGCCGCCGCTATTGGGGCGATGACGCCAGGGCGCTGACGTCAAGGTAGCGTTTTTAATTAGACATGACACTCTTCCTTTCTTAACAAAAGAAAGGTTTGTAAATTAATCTAGACTATTTGGCCTTCGCTCTCTGATCATCGGCTTGGTACTTGTCGGGAGGTCGCCGGGTGCGAATGCTTCGCCGCTTTGCCGGTGCTTCACCTTGATCCTTTGCGGCGGTCGACGTCCTTTCTTCGGGGATGCTTCAAGCCGTCAGATTCCCATTGAAGTCTGCAACGCCATGAGATGAGGTTGCTGGTGATGACATCATGTCGCCTTCGACTTGGCCATCGAACGACTGTGATCCCTCGTTGAGGCGTTAGGGTTCTTGCGCTGACGATCAGGCACGGTCCGCAGCTCTTCAACTGCAACACTGGCCTCTGTTGGCTGGAGTTTCTACCAAGGTTTGCGTTGATCATCTCATCGACAGTCCGGGACCGCTGTGACGTGTTGACTTGGTGTAGAAGGTGGTCTCGGTGCAATGCACGATCGTTTCCGCAGGTCGTCAGCATGGACGAATTGCACGTTGTCGTCTACTCTGACGAGATACGTAGCGGGGCTGAGGACTTGTTCGACGATTTCCTCCTGCCATGATTCGGCTTCTCCTCGCGTTGTTTTGACGTAGAGCTTCTCGTGGACCCAGAAACAGTCCGCTGTACCTCTTTGCTGGCTGAGTTGGTCGTCGCTCCTTTGCCGACGATCCGCTATGTCACCTGCAATGCATGGCTTGAGCAGAGACAACTTTATGCTAGGCACTCGCTCTAGCAAGAGCTCGGCTGGAGTCTGTGCTGTCGTGTAGTTTGGCGTGCACCTGTACGACAACAAGAAGTCGTTAGTGCGCTCTTGTGTTGTGCGCTACGCTCCTGCTGAGTTGTGGCGAAGCGCTTGCTTGAGCTGCGAAGTTTTAGTGGTTCGCACCTGTATTTCAGCGGCTCCGTTTGATGCAGCGTGGTAGGGAGGTGTCCTGGTATGCCTGATACCACGGTGTTGCAGGAACTCTTGAAACTCGTCCGAGGTAAACTGTCGGCCTTTGTCGGTTACAAGTTCCTCCGGGTAGCCGTAGGCTGCGAAGAGTATGTCTAATTTCTCGGCTGTCTGTGCACTTGTCCTTTTACTCATGCAAGAAGCTTCGATCCACTCGGAGTAAGCGTCGACCAGCACGAGGAAGTTAACTCTGTTTTTGACTGCATAGTCCTTGTAAACGCTTTGCCACACTCTGGTTAGATAGGGCCACGGCTGCAGTGGACCGGGAGTCTTCGCTGAAGGACGCCTAGGCAAATACGGCAAAGGCGTACAGTGTCTTCCACTTCCTTGTCGAGAAAAAGCCACCAAACGTAAGATAGGGCTAACACATTCGCTCTACTGCATGGGCTTCATGCAGTAGAGCGAATACGTGGGCTTGCAATGGTTTGGTGATGATGACTCGAGGTCCTTAAGTCAAACATCCTCGCCCCTTTTACTGACAGCTCGTACCTATTCACAAAGAACGCTCGCATTTCTTCGGGATACTTTCTTGGCCTCCCCGAGAGCGTGTAGTTGATAACTGCCGTGAGGACCAAATCACGCTTTGTTTCCCTCGTCACTTGTTGGGCGATGAGCGGCGTTGCGTCGAATGCAACTAGACATTCTGGACGTCATCCTTCTCTTTCGCCGCTGGTGGCAGCCCTAATAACGCATCCGCAACTTGCATGTCGTGGCCGTTCCGGAACTTGAGCTTGTACTGATATGCAGGAAGTGTCACAGCTAATCCTTAGATTCTGTGGCTGCTAGTGTTGGAATTTGTTTCGCCTGTTTTAGAATGCCCAACAGACGCTGGTGATCAGTGTACAGACTTAAGCGACGTCCACACAAATAGCGATGAAATCGCTTGAGGCCGAAGATAATAGCAAGCGCTTCCTTCTCTCCTTGAGCGTAGTTACGTTCACTGCTTGTGAGAGTGCGCGAGGCAAATGCTATTGGCTTTTGACTTCCGTCCGGCATTTCATAAAAAATCACAGGCCCCAGACCATAGTGCCGCGAGCGCAGCAGACCAATTAGGCGGTGCGCCCGTGGCCTGGCCAGGCGTTCACTTCTGGCCTGGCCAGGCGTTCACTTCTGGCCTCCGCCGAGTACGGACGTGCGATGTCGGGCTCCCACGGAGCGGCAGCAACGGCCAGGCCTGGCCGCGGTTCTTCTGTTTCTGAAAATGCTGAGGAGTACAAGATCATTCTGCCACCCCTGCCCACCGGTTATCTGGCAAAGAACGCAGTTTTTCTGCACTGTGATATGCGCTACCGGCCTTATCAGATTCAAGATTTCAAGGAAAAATTGGAAAGGCTGAACATCCTGCAAAAATTGGCGTCGGCGGGAGCCCACGAAATGAATCATGCTTGGATGCTTCGGCTGCACTCGCTCTCCGCAAAGCAACGGTTGGTAGACGCCAAAGAACTTCGGATCAAAGGGGGGCGTTGCCTCGCTTTTGACCCCGCCAACACGGAGGTGAAAGTCAAGCTGCATTGGGTTCCTTATGACGTGCCAAACTCCCAGGTACGTCGAGACCTCGAACGCTTCGGCAAGGTGACGGACATTAGGCGTGACCATTTGCGTGAGAAGGGATTGGAGAACGTCGAGTCTAATACGCGACTCGTCCAAATGACGCTAAAGGAAGGTACGACTATGGAAGACATTCCGCACGAGCCACGCATAGAAGGATGCAAAGTGCTAGTCATCGTTCCTGGTAGGGCTCCTTTGTGCCTCCGGTGCCGCCGTACTGAACATATCCACCGTAACTGTCGAGTTCCGCGTTGTAACGAGTGTCATCGCTATGGACACGACAGCGAAAGCTGCGTAAAGACGTACGCCTTCATCGCCCGAGAACGCCGAAACGAAGACGTGAATGACCTAATAATGGATGAGGTAGAGGCTGAAGACACCGCTGCGAGCGACCTGCCAGAGGGGCAGACCGGAGATGAACCAAGAAGCCGGCCACAACCCGTCCAAGCGACGAGGCAGCGACTTCGTCCCAATATGCCAAGGAACCCACGAATGCCGTAAGGGAGGCGCATGAAACATCGCCACCACCCCCCAGATGTCAACCAAAGCCGGTCGAGGAAGTGGCAAAGGCTACCGACAACGACTTCGTACACCATCCACTCCAGGAGGGAGACGAGGACACAGATCAAGTGGACATGATCGACGCGTCGGTCCATTTAGACAAACGGACGCTCGCACAAGTCTCCCCGACGGCGTCAGTGGAAGACACTCTTGACGAAACCCAGCAGGATCACGGGAAAGGCACGAAAAAGAGCCGAAAAACAACAAAGCCAGGTACTGCCAAGGACGTACGTAGACACAAAGACTCAAAGTGAGTGTACGTCAGCCCGATTTTCGAGTGTTCTCTTTTCCTTTTTTTTTTTCTTTGTAACCTCTCAGCAAGTGCGTAACCCTCAGTTAGCGTCACACAAACAAACAAAGAATAACGGACCTACCATCCCCAATTCGTATCGGAACACTCTACATTCGAGGCTTTAACTCGGGGGAAAAGACAGTACCAGTTACAGCGTTTACTAAGCGAGTTAAACATCGGCATACTTGCGTTTCAGGAAGCTAAAATGGAACATGACGACAACATTGAGCGTGCTTTAAGACCTTTTTTAAGCCGATACGAAGTATGTGTCAGCCATGCTGCGGGTCTCTCGGCCGGTTGTTTCTTACTTCTCTCTAAAGCAGTAGAACTGAGAGATTTAAATATAGTCGCGGACGCAAGAGGTAGGTTTATAATAGGCGACTTCACGTTGCACAATCAAAAGTGGAGGGTTCTGTGTATATACGCACCAAACCGAGTCAGTGACAGATGTGAGTTCTTTTCGGACTTCGAGCCATACCTGGAGTGCGATCGTGCGGTTGTCTTATTAGGGGACTATAATTGCGTTTGCAGAAGGGAGGACAGAGCGCCAGGAGAGATGCATACAGACAGGTGCGCAAAATTTTTGAAGAACATATTGAATAAGTATGGCTTAGAAAACGCTGCGCCACTGACAGATGCGAAACCCGAACTTCGGTTCACCCATTTTCAGTCCTCTTCACACGCGCGTTTGGATCGTATTTATGTATCAGCCGATATTGCCAGCGAAGTAACGAACTACGACGTGAGTCCGATATTCTATAGTGATCACTGTCTAGTAACAGTGACTACGGGTAGTAAAGATATGCAACCAAAAAAAAAGTTTGACTGGGAGCTCTGGAAATTAACGTTAGACTTCTCAAAGATGATATTTTTATTGAGTGAGTGACGAAGACTTGTGGAAAATTAACCATGATGAAACAATTTAGTTTCTTAGAGAGATGGGAATATTTTAAGCAGGAAATAAAACAACTCGCAATAGAAAGGTCCTTGCAGCTCCAAGTTTTGGCCTCAAACGAAGAAAAGGTGCTGCGCAAATGTTGGATAGATTTACTACAAAGTGAAAGCGATAAACCGCGGTCATGCGTTGCAGACATAAAGCAGGTCAAGGCCAAGCTGGACGCCTTCCAGCAAGAGCGTTATCGCGGAGCAGTGATACGAGCGCGATCTGAAAGATTTCTTTTCGGGGAGCAGCTCACAAAGAATGCTCTAGGCGAGGAGAAAAAGTACGCGCTCGGAAAAGAAATCGCGAGTATTGAACATAACGGGTGTGTCAGCAATGACAAAGATGTCATCCAGCGTGCGTTCCATGAACATTATTGTAGCCTCTTCAGGGGCGACAAAAAACCGAGCGGCACAGCGACCTTCGAGGGCTTACTTCGTACTGCACCGGAGTTGTCTCAAGAGGCGAAGGAAGGGTGGAAGAACCAATCACGGAAAGCGAGATAGGACGCGCGATTGAAAACCTTCCTATGCATAAGACGCTTGGGCCAGACGGTCTCTGTGCTGAGTTTTATAAAACGTTCAAAAGTTCTTTGTGTCCTTTTCTTTTTGAGGATATAAGCGAAGCTTTCGAACTTAAAGCGCTGCCCTCTTCCTTCCTTCAAAGCCATACAGTTTTTGATTTCTAAATCAGATGACGAAGTAAAACGAAGGCAAGTTACTGGATACCGACCTATCACGCTCTGTAATGTAGATCATAAGATATTTGCAAAGATTCTTAGCGAAAGACTACAACGCGCAGTTACTGAGCTAGTAGGACCGCATCAAACCTGCAGTATCAGGGGAAGAGCAATTCAGAGTAACTTACACTTCACTCGGTCTATTCTCGAAAGTTGTAAATCCGAAGGAAACCAAGTGGCATTAATTCAAATTGATTTAGATAAAGCCTTTGACCGCGTCTGTCACGAGTTTTTTTGGAAAATTCTGGAACGCGCGAACGTCGGCAAAATTGTTTTAGAGGGGATTAGAATGGCCTACTCCGGTTGTACTACAAACCTCCTTGTGAACAACGCTTTAAACCCTAAAATACAAGTGCTGTCGTCCGTGCGCCAGGGTTGTCCTTTGTCTCCGTTGTTATTCGCTGTATACCTGGAGCCTCTCTGTTTGTGTGTTGCGCAGCGAGCTAGTGCACGGGTATGTTATGGGAGGCGTAGAAGTAAAAATTTTGGCGTACGCAGACGACGTCTTCTGTTCTGACAAAAGAAGCGTCGCGTATGCCCTGGAATTGTGCAAGGCATTCTGCGTCTCTAAAGGCGCTGTAATTAACATGAGAAAATGCAGTGTCTTATGGCATGGCGAGTGGGCCACAGCACCCAGTTACGAAGGTATCTAATGGAGTTGCTCGCCCAGCAAGTACCCTGGAGCACCTTTCCAGCATTTAAGGCAGACATCGATGTATTGGACAAATGTAACTTCTGAAATGAAAGAGCGTACAACAAATTGGGGTTCCTGCGACCTGTCAATTTTCACGAGATCCATGATATGTAACATATTTCTGACCGCGAAGGTGTGGTTTGTGCTTCAAGTTTCTAGTTGTCCGCGAATATGTATACAAAAGATGCACCGTGTTTTTGCCTTGTTTGTGTGGAAGAATGCAGGAGAATCCATGCGAAGGGACAACCTTTTTCGTCGAGTCCAAAATGGTGGCCTAGCATTGCCGCATCTATTTCTCCGTCAGACCGTTTCGCGTTTCCTGTTTTTGAGAGACCAGACGAACCCCCTCATTCAGGTGATGCTCCATACGAGGCTTGCTCCCCACCTTCCTTCTTTTATTGTTTCCTCGGGCATTGATCGTCCTGCTAGCCTGGTGGGCTTTGTGAAAGAATTGTGGTCGACTCTTTCAAATTTTTGA